TCTTTTTTATGGTATGAGTGTCGGGAGTTCCTATAGATATACGGTGTCTCTATAATTCATTCTCTTTTATATGGTATGAGTGTCGGGAGTTCCAGCAGCAAATCAGTTCAGTTCAATGCAATGCAATGCAATGTAATTCATTTGTTTGTTTTTATTATATTTTTAATGCGAGTCTAAACTCGACGAGAGTCTATTCAAGTCGCTTGCGGGCAGTGGGCAAGTGCAGCCAAAGTCCCCATACATGAATAGCAACCAGTAGCTATGAAGCAAACGAAGGTAGTGGGATATAGCAACCAGATCGTCAGCCAGAGTCCCCCACTGCATTAAAAATTCTAAATAGCTAATAAATATTAATAGCACCAGTTGCGCGGGGAGCGATGCGGCAGCGACGGCCGCACCCACGAGCGCGCGCGCGAGCGCGTCACGTTCGGCCGACGATGCGGAGGGTGTCAGTGCGCGCAGCCGCGTCGGAGCGGCAGCTAGAGCTCCCCAGAAGCGATCGTGCGTCTGCAGCACGACCGCTCGCCGCTGTGTGTAATGTTGGGGGTGGATTGGGGATGAGGGGGCAGTTAGCCAACAGGCAGTGTTTTATTATAATAGTTCTTTTAAGTTTTAACAGTGTGCGCAGGGGAGCCGACAAGAAGCGGAGAGCCTATCCCCAACTCTAGCCCCAGTCTAGAGACAAGGCGACACACCGACTCGTGCTCCGGCTTCGCCGCGGCCGCCGAGCCCGGCCGCTGCTGCATGTAGGCACGCTCCAGGCCATCGAGCAGCCGCGCGCGCCTCGCGGCAATCGCGAGCGGCTCGGCCACGCCCGGACTCGGCCCGGTTGAGCGCACCGCCCAGCGTGCGGAGCACGCGCCCTTGAGATTCACTGCATGCGCGTAGAGCAGGCCCTCTACCGCGCCGGGCCGCTCACACCAGACGGCCGCCCACGCGACGAGCAAGACGTGCGCGCCGAGCCAGCGCGGGTGGGCCAACGCGAATAGCTCCAGCACACGTGGCAGCGCGGCGGGCGCACCGTCGACGGCGAGCCGGCGCAGCGTGTCGAGGAGGAGCGACGACGCGGAGGCCTCGTCGAGAGCCGCGCCCGCGCCCTCGGAGTCGGAGGGCTTGGGCGGACGAGACGCCTGGCACAGCGTGTCGAGCAGCAGCGACGAGTGCGGCACGAGCTGCGAGTCAGCGGTCGCGCCGTCTTCGAGGAAGACGGAGGAGGCCATCGGGTTTGGCGTCATCCGCTACGTGGTGCACCGTCTGGTCTGCTCCAATGCTCTCCGACTTCCTCCTTCTTACCCGCCGCTCTGAGTAAGCGCGCGTTTTTTAAAGTGAGTACAGTAGTCTCCAGCAAAACCGCGCGCTGGCCGCTGACATTGGATCACATCTCCCTGTGTATATATAGCGGCTCAGCATGGTTCAACAGGTGTTGTTCACTCACTGACTTGGTCGACGTCAGACGTTAGTCCTGGCAGCAGGGATGTTGGTGGTAAAGGTGAGGTTGGTGCTGAACTCGTAGCAATTGCCACAGGTTCCACCCCCCCCCCCCCCCCCCCCACGCTCACGTCCATTTAGGTGCGTGTGCCCTGTCCGCCACGGCCGCCGCGGCCACCGCGGCCGAGGCGTACGCCCCGGTTGGCATTATGGCTGCGCCAGGTGTCGTCACGGTACGCGCCGTCCGCGTGCGCAGGGGCGTCCTCGGGCCCGTTTGCCGAGCGGCCGGTGCGCTGGAACCAAGGTGCACCCCGGGCACCAGCGGCCGCGCGCGCAGTCTGCGTGTGTAGCGAGCGCGCGCTGGCAAGGATGAGCCTGGCGTGGCCGCGCGCCACGATCACTCCGAGCTCCTTGCGCATGAGCCCGAGAAGCGTGTTGCGCGCCTGCATCGTCGTCGGCGCGCTGAGCTTGCCCATCCACGTCTCCGCATCCATGCCAGCAAAGTTCTTGAGCAGGTTGTCGAGGCTCTTTGACTGCTCCCCGAAGCCGCCGGTCGCTATGCCGATGACGGGGGGGAAGCCGTTGAGGCGCTGCTCCATCGGTCCCACCTGGCCCTCTCGCGTGCGGAAACCTTGCGGTCGGTCTGCTGGAGCTGCCTCCTGCGCTCAGCGTCGAGCTTGCCCGAGCGGTTCCCTGTGTTGTATGTGTGTTGCACCTGTCAGAACGGAGGTTGCTCCTCGTTTCTTAGCGGCAAGGCCTGTGCATAAATATCACATGAATATCACATAGCAGGTCTGATTCAGCAGGTCTGCCATGCTCGGGAGCCCGGCCGTTCAGTACACCCCCGTGGGATCGGGTATTCGGGCATAGCCTGCCCCCTCGGCGGTTATTGCTGATTTCTAATTAATTCCGCTAGCTCGTTCGACCTCTCATCGACGCGTCGGTTCATACGTCACTCTCGCAATCCGCCGTGCCCGCAGGTACTTTCAGCTATGCTACTCCCTACCTTGCTCATTTTCCTTTCCTAACAAGCATACTGACGGCGGCCAACGAGATTGTACTGGTAAGCTGTACCTGCGGGCGGACTGCGGGCAACTGCGGGGAGATAAGGTTCATGCTTCGCTCATTGACACATCCAACCAATTAGTACCAAACGACGAGTACAATCTGTTAATTGTAGTTCACGTGACGGAGTTGGTCTAACGTGCTGGATTAAGGCTCCAGTCTCCTCGGAGGCGCGCGTTCGAATCGCGTCGTGGATACATTTTGTTCGCTCAGCGGTCGCTCGCTGCTCGTCTTCTTCGCCGGCAGTTCTCTTTTGCCTCTCTCCTTTTGCGAGTTTGCATAAGACATGCAACACGCAGGCAGTCCACAGTGTCGACGTCCGGCAGCAAGGCGAAGAAGTGCAAAAGGCAAGACTGCAGGGGATCGAACCCTGGTCTCCGGATTAGAGGTCCGGCGTGATAAATCCTCTTCACTACAGCCCCGATTTACGACTTGATCGTGCGGCACCTACGTGGAAGTCAGAGGGCCGAACGAGTCCGTTACGAGAAGTAATGCGTTAATGTGCAAAATCAGACTATATGAATGGGACATATCTTCACTCCAGCGACTCTGACAGCGGCGTGACCTCGCTCGTGTGTCTCATGGTGTGTCGGCGGGGCTGCGCGCACGCGCCCGGGGCCGCCAAGCACTATACGCTCGTCGGCGGTGGCGACGCAGACGACGGCTCGGAGGATGACGCGTCGCTGCCGAGCGCCGAGCCCGCACGCGGCTTCCCAAGCGACGAGCCCACTACCGGGAGCCACCTTACGGCGCACAAGAGCACCCACAGCGGCGAGCGGCCGCACGCGTGCGACGAGCCTGGGTGTGAGCACCGGGCCACTACCGCGAGCAACCTCACGAGGCACAAGCTCACGCACAGCGGCGAGCGGCCGCACGCCTGCAACGAGCCCGGCAACAAGCCCGGGTGTGACTACCAGGCTTCTACCGCGGGCGACCTCACGAGGCACAAGCGCACGCACAGCGGCGATCGGCCGTTCGCCTGCGACGAGCCTGGGTGCGAGTACCGGGCCGCTGAGGCGGGCAGGCTCACGGCGCACAAGCGCACGCACAACGGCGAGCGGCCATTCGCTTGCGACGAGCCTGGGTGCGAGTACCGGGCCGCCTCCGCGAGCCACCTCACGGCGCACAAGCGCACCCACAGCGGCGCGGCCGCACGCGTGCGACGAGCCCGGGTGCGAGTACCGGGCCGCCTACGTGAGCAACCTCACGACGCACAAGCGCACGCACAGCGGCGAGTGGCCGCACGCGTGCGACGAACCGGGGTGCGAGTACTGGGCCACTACTGCGAGCATTCTCACGCGGCACAAGCGCACGCACAGCGGCGAGCAGCCATTCGCGTGCGACGAGCCCGGGTGTGAGTACCGGGCCGCTGAGGCGAGCAAGCTCACGAGGCACAAGCGCACGTACAGCGGCGAGCGGCCGTTCGCGTGCGACGAGCTGGGGTGCAAGTACCGGGCCACTCGAGCTGACGTCCTCACGGCGCATAAGCGCACGCACAGCGGTGAGCAGCCGTTCGCGTGCGACGAGCCCGGGTGCGAGTACCAGGCCGCTCAGGCGAGCCACCTCACGGCGCACAAGCGCACGCACAGCAGCGAGCCGCCGCACGCGTGCGACGAACCGGGGGCGAGTACTGGGCCACTACCGCGAGCAGCCTCGAGCGGCACAAGCGCCTCAAGCGCAGCTGAGCCCGGCGCCGGCCTATCTTCTTGATCAGTCACAGGGGCGCTAGCTAGATATTTTATCAGCGACGTCCCGTAGTTACGTCCGCTCAAGTATTAACTAAGTACTAACTATTACACTATTAATTTTATAAAGTTAGTTATAGGCCGCAACGATGAATAAAGTTCTACAGTACTCAGTAGACTCATGTATAAACGGAAGATGGCAAAATTGAAATTCAGCTGTATGAATTTGTCTAGCTAGTTATAGCTGGGTACTCAGGTAATAAATGCATTTTAAGCGACGCAGGGAAGGCCAGTAGTTCGACGGCGGACTAGCTGCCGGCCGCGGCCGCCGGCTGCGTGCTCTGCGGCGACGGCACGGCAGCCGGCAACTCGTGGTCGACCATGGCGAGCTGCAGGCCCGCCTCCGCGTCGGGGCAGGTCGCTTCGAGCGTGAAGGACGCGCCGAGGCCGTCGCCGAAGAGGCACGGCACGAGCACGTAGGGGGCGCCGTCGGGGAGCAGGCTGAGGTGCAGCATCACCTCCACCGACGCGAGCGGGACGAAGGGCACCTCCTGCACCACGTCGAGCGCCGCGTACCCGCGCGCAGGCAGCCGCAGCCTGAAATAAAATGACAATGAAATGATCGTTGTTTTAATTCTCGTAATTACTTTAGTAGTAGTAGCAGCAGCAGCAGCAGCAGCGGCGGCGGCAGCAGCAGCAGCAGAAGCAGCAGTAGACTAGTAGTAGTGGGGTACTGGTAGTGGTGGTCGTCGTAGTGATGGTGGTGGTGATAGTTAAAATAAAAGAAAAAGAAAAGTTAAAAAAGTTAAAAAGTTGAAAGGTAAAAAAAGTGAAAAAAATCATTGGTTGAGCAGTCACTGGCTGAGCCTGTCCACACACTGGATAAGTAGTAGCAGTAGTACCGCTCCGCCGGGCCGAGGCCGCGCCCGCGCAGCACGTAGAGGCCGAGCATCGAGGCGTAGTACTTCTCCGTCGAGCGGAGGAGCAGCATCCGATCCGCCTACAAGAGAAAAGAAAGAAAGAAAAAGAAATGAGCAGAAGATGAAGCAGAATAGATGAAATATGATGAAGTATGAATATTTGAATATACCTCCTCCTTGCCGTCTCCCAGAAACTGATGAGCAATTCCTCCTCAAGGGAGGGAGGGGCTCCAAAAAAGAAGAAGATTAAAGCATGCCTGCTCGAAGCAATCCCCCATCAGCGTAAAAAAAAAAAAAAAAAAAAAAAAAAAAAAA